AATATTTCAAGAAATATTTGGTGAATGAAAAACATCATCAGAAGAGGTTGTGAATCATATTAACAGCACCTCCATGTTTAGAGGACTGGGTGGTGGGTGACCTCGCGACCGCCGCTTTAGCATTCTAGCGTTTGTCCGTCCGTGCTTCTTGTTTTTTTGTATTTTGATTTCTGTAACTCGTATATATTTCCTGAATTATTGAAGTTGTTTATTAAACGTTTACTTGGAGGTTGGAATATGTATCAAGGTGGTTCAGCTCAACACCCAGTGATGCCACCACAACAGCAAAATCTACCTCAACAGAATCAACGAGATGGCAGGCATCATGCTAGGTACTAAGACTTACCATTCTTTGTTTCTCATATGAGTTATAACAGCCATTCTCATGCTTCCCGAGGACCTCCATCTGCTGAAGAAATAGAAGCGATGAATGCAACGAGGGTCTGTTCTTCTTTTAAATTTTTTACAATTCGGCGTCTGTTCAGGTAACTTCAAGCCTACTTGAATATATACAAAAAACCAAATTCCCTTATATGAAAGATGTTAGTAGTTATGAGAAGTTACAAAAAGTAGGACAAGGAACATTCGGGTGAGTTGATCGTCGGCTCAGATCACACATTGACGCTTTCGCTTTGCAGAGAAGTTTTTAAAGCAAGATGTAAAACAACTAATAGGATGGTCGCTTTAAAAAAGATTTTAATGGAAAATGAAAAAGAAGGGGTTCGTTGCTTTCGAGTTTCTCTTTCCTCACTCCCCTCTCTTCAGTTTCCCATCACCGCCCTTCGAGAAGTCAAAATGCTTCAGCAGCTGAAACATGAAAATATAACAGAGCTGATAGAAGTATGCAGTGGGAAGAGTGAGTCGCAGTTGTGTGTTCCTACTCATCGAATGTCTTTCCAGCCTCATCACAACTCAAAGATAGATCAACGTTCTATTTGGTTTTTGCTTTCGCCGAGCATGACTTGGCAGGGTTGTTAAGCGACTCCAAGATTCGATTCAGCATGGTGCACATCAAGACGTTAATGAAAGTCGTACCAAGCTCATGGAGATTCATCTTATCCTCACCCCTTTTCAGCATTTGTTAAGCGGGTTGGACAAGTTGCATCGTTCAGGAATAATGCATCGTGATATGAAAGCAGCCAATGTGCTGCT